GACCCTGACCCTGACCCTGCGCTCCAGATGTACTCTGGAACCCGGACCCTGACCCTGACCCTGACCCTGCGCTCCAGATGTGCTCTGGGACCCTGACCCTGCGCTCCAGATGTGCTCTGGAACCCTGACCCTGACCCTGTGCTCCAGATGTGCTCTGGGTCCCCGCGCATAGATGCCGACTACAGGAGTGAGGCCTTATTTTCTCTCCGTGGGGAAAAGCTTAGAAATGTTCACACCCAGGAAATGAAGACCCCAACAAGATGCCCGAGCACTCCGGAGCAGGGACGCTGACTGTTACGCGATTTTCCGTCATGTCCTCTGCCTGTCCTCGCTAGGTTCCTTGAGGTGTTGGCGTGCCACCTAGAACAGCATGCACGTTCAGAAAGCCCACGGCAACACTTACCCTGGGGAATGCAGTCGGCTTATTGCTGTTCCTGTAAATATATATTTTAAAATTTTATTTATTATTAATTTTTAATTTGTTATAGGGTTGGTGTGCTCACCAGAGAGAGACAGAGAGGGAGAGAGAGAGAAAGTAAGAAAGCAAGCTGCCAGGTCTGGGACTCAAACCGTGGTTGGCCATTTGGGAGTCCAGCACCTTTAACCACCATGCCACCTGGTGGCCCCCTGTACGTATTTATATGCTTGAGCGCCACATGGGGGGTCCAGAGAGGAGTTGAGGGACGGGAAGGAGTGACAGTGGGAAGACAGCCATAGAGCAGGGTCAGGTCTGGGCAGAGCCCCGGCAGCACAGGGAAGCTGTGCACACAGACCCACACGGGAGGCGTCGGGGCTGGGGAGAGAGGAGAGGGCGGGAGACCCCGCTCACAGGTGCACAGTATGGCCACACGCATGGGAGGAGAGGGGACAGTGTTAGACGGCAAAGCAAGCTTGTCGGGGTCACAGGCACCCAAAGCCCACCCCGAAACGCCCAGTAGGCGATAACCAAGCAATCACTACAAGGGACACTTGGAATTGCTTTCAGAAAGAGATAAGAAAACCAAGTCTTGTCTTGTCTTGTCTTTTCCTTTCCTTTCCTTTCCTTTCCTTTCCTTTCCTTTCCTTTTCTTTTTTCTTTTCTTCTTTAGAGGTTTTTGCTATAGGGTGCGTGCGCTCGCCAGAAAGACAGAGAGATACAAGGAGACAGAAAGCGAGAAATCACCCCCCAGGGGGGATGGCCACGCCGCAATCCCTTCTCCTCCATTCTCCTCTTGGGATCTTGGGCACGCACGCACACGTGCCCAGTGTGAGTTTAAGCCACTGGGTCTGGGACTCGAACTGCGGTCAACTACATGGGAGTCCAGTTACATAGCCATTATGCAAATTGCTGGTCCCCCAAGTATTTTCTAATAAAAGGAACACCACTGAGGCGGAGTTGGTGAAGGCTAACCCGAGAACGAGGCCACCGCCGCGTCCCGAAGGTTGCTGGGACAGGCTGGGGCCCAGGCGGGGAGGGTCAGCCATAGGCCGGCACTTTCCCAGCAACTGCCGGAGGGCCTTCGGCCAATGACAACCAGGGAAATGCCAGAGACTGGCAGCAGGTTGGGGTACGCCCTGAAGTAGGCTGTTCTCGAGCGGGGCGCTGGGGGTACCGGGGCTCTCATTGTGCAAGTCAGCGACGCTGGAAGAGTGGATGCTCCATCAGAGCCCACTGGGGGGCGCCCTGCCCTTGCTCCGGCTGCTGCCCTTTGGGGCTGCCACTCCCGTCCCTGGTTGGGGCCCCTGTGCTTCTCCTGGGGGATTCGGGACATTGTGGCATTTCCCCAGTGGCCCAGACATTCTCCGTGACCTGAAAGTAGTGAGGGTTTCCAAAGCGATGCCCAGTGGGGTGGGTTTGGCATGGCAGCGTCCCCCATCCCTTTGTAATTTTTTAATGTATTTGTACAATTTAATACATAATTTGATGAGTGCAGGCTTGTAAGACCAGCTAGGTTCAGAAACAGTGCCGTCCTGGGGGCTTTCCAGATCGGCAAATCCTCTTCAAAAATAATGAGGGATGGGAACCAGCAGTTAGCGTAATGGCTATGTCGCTGGACTCCCACGTAGTCGACCGCGGTTCGTGTCCCGGACCCAGTGGCTTAAAACTCACGCCGGGCGCGTGTGCGTGCGTGCCCAAGATCCCGAGAGGAGAATGGAGGAGAAGGGATTGCGGCGTGACCATCCCCCCTGGGGGGTGATTTCTCGCTTTCTGTCTCTGTGTCTCTCTCTGTCTGTCTGGCGAGCGCACGCACCCTACAGTGAAAATCTCTCCAAAAAAAAAAAAAAAGTTAAAAAATAAAATAATGATGGATTACTTTACGCAGCTGCGGTCAAGCCAGTGGGACAGCACTTGGGCATCGTCATCTGCAGGTTGCTGGTGACTTGGGCACATTGCCTCAGCCACCTTGTCACGCTCACCTCAGTGACAGTGCCGTCGGTGATGACACCCAGAGTCGTAAGCAGTGGGGACAAGGCAGCCTTTACAGCAGCACTGCAGGCTGAGGGGCTTTCAGTTGGGGCGTGTCACGGGGCCTCCTTGAAACGGAGCCCGTGACCCGCTGCGTCTTCCCTGTTTAGCTGGTTTTCTAGTAAAGCGTCTCCAACGGGGCAGACCTCGTGACCAGCCTCTTCCAGGCCACCGCCTTTCTCTTTCCTGTTCCAGTAACTTGATACTTCCGCTTCTCCCTGGGCTCGAACTTTGGGTAGAGGCACTTCCCATTTTCCCGCTTTCTCTCTCTGTTTTTGTTTAATCAGATTGGAAAGCACTTCGGCTCGGGCTGTCCTTCTCTGTCCGACAGCTAGGCAGGTCCAGCTCCCGTGGGAGCTGGGTCCAGGACTCGAACTGTGGTCAGCCACGTGGGAGTCTGGCGACTAACTGCTGCACCCCCTGCTGGCCCCTGGTTTGACATTTTTGAATGGTCAACACATCCCAAAGAAAAACAATTTATTTTGTACAACGTGTGTGACATGCCAACTTTTTTTTTTTGGAGAGGTTTTCGCTATAGGGCGCGTGTGCTCGCCAGACAGACAAAGAGAGACAGAGAGACAGAAAGTGAGAAATCACCCCCCCCCAGGGGGGATGGCCACGCCGCAATCCCTTCTCCTCTGTTCTCCTCTCGGGATCTTGGGCATGCATGCACACGAGCCTGGCGTGAGTTTTAAGCCACCGGATCCAGGATGCCAACTGCGGTCGACTACGTGGGAGTCCAACGACATAGCCATTACACTAACTGCTGGTCCCCTGTGACATGCCAACTTCTTTGTCCAGAATGAAGTTGCGTTGACATAGCCACGCTCCAGCCCGTGCAGGTCTGGCTGCTGTGGGCTCCCTGACAGGTGGAGTGGGCTCCCCGGCAGGCGGTGCTGGTGCTGGCCTGAGCTCTGTGGTCAGCGAGGTGGCAGCCCGAGGCCAAACCTGCTTTCAGTGGGGTATTTATTACTGCAGCCGGAGAGAAGCCAGCTCTGACTGGGTAAGGAGAAGTCTATGAGTCAGGAGGTTTTAAACTCTTGAATGCAAAAAGTGAGTCAACTAATTTGTGAATAATTGGGAAACTTTCAGATGGAGGAAATATAGCTTCTCCTGTGCTTGGATTAGCTGCATGTGCAAACTGGGTCCTAATTAACTTTCTGGAAGTTGGTTTCCCTGCGCAGAGCAGCATGCGCCTCTGTCCACACCCGTGCGTCTACACCTGTGTGCTATTTGAACAGAAGTGTTGCAAGTACGAGCTGCATTTCCAAACGGAGCCAATACACGGGCGAATGCTGAGATGTGTTCCCGCGGACGTCACTGCTGGCCGCCGTCTGGCCGTCCCAGTGCTCGGCTCACATGCACCGGCCCGCAGTGGGGCTGGCTGTCCTCACAGCCCATTCCATGGTGGCCGGTGGGACTGGCCGGCCTTTCCTTCCCAAAGACTCTGATTAGGAGAAATAGTTTGTGTCTTCACACGGCAAGGTGGCCCGTGGGTGTGGCCACTCACTCCTCATAGCCGATGACGTTGAAGGCGCTGGCGCCGGGCACGCGGCCTCGTGTGCATGCGCTGGAAGGTGCTCACACACCACCAGCGGCTTTGCGGATCCAAAGACACCAGTTTCCGCCACCAGGCTCTTCTCTCAGCCCTGGGCGCGTGCCAGGAAATACTCAGCTCCCACAGACAGCACGCTTAGCGTGCCCCGCTCACACTGGGACCCCAGAACAGACC